TCTCAAATGAGTTTATTGTGGCGGTGCGGATGACAGGCCCAGCTGTGATGCGTGCAGAAAAATACAATGTACTGTATCTTAACTTCAGATGTAACACATAAAATTGGGAGAAAATCACTTTCAGAAACAGATTGGTTTTGGCTTTGGCACACTTCACAGATGAGTATGAAGACAACTCGCGCGGCTCTCGTTGCTGTAGACAATTTAAAAAAGAATATAATCACAGATGCACTACTGTCACAATTTGGGGCAATTGATTTGCTCAAAGAGAACTGGATTTCCTTTTTGTTGAATAAACCCAACTGTTTTTTTTTTCTAATTAAGTTGTAAGAGGAGCAAAATATTTGAAGGATTGTACATTAGAAGGAGAGTTGATGTTCGTTTTAAGAGATATTCTTGAGTTTGTCTTTATGTGTGTGAATGTTTATGTGTTTCCATGGTACTGTATATACATTGAAACTGTATATACGAGCATACACCCACAGGATCAGTCCATGTTATTGTCCCGACAAGTCCATGAGTCAGAAGAAGCCGCTCAGAGGGTTGGTCTCCTCTGCTGTTTACTGCAAGTCTGCTGGTACCACTCTTTCTCACCACTGGGATGTGACAAATGCAATCAGACACGGCTCCTGCTGTAGTGCACCGGTGGAAGCTATTTCAACTTTTTCAACAAAAAACTGATTCAATATTCACATCTGCCAAGGAGGTTGTGTTTCGTCAGGGTTTGTTTGTTTGTTTGTCTGTTAGTTAGTTGTGGGAACATCTTAAATGCATCTCTGGAATGGCGTCAGGATTAGTGCTTTGCTTGTTTGATATTGACGCTGAGAGGTTAGATAGATTAGGACATGCGTCTTATAGAAGCAGAGATGGTAAAAGTACATCTTTGCTTTTCTGTCAGCTGTGCCACTCTGTTTTGAATTGATAAAATAGTTGCATGAAAAGAGACATATATAAGGATTTTGACACACATACAGCTGAGAAATGTGGTATGTTATGATTAAGGAAAACATTTTCTATTTAATTTGTATGTAATTGAATAGAAAATAATGAATGGCCGGAGCTATAAAAGCTGATTTACAGTATGTCATCTTTGAAATCTATGCATAATCTAGATATTGACGATTGTCACAATATTCCATTAGTTGTGATAAATCAGCCTGACACAAAAGAAGGAATAGCTTCTTTCCCAATCTCCAATGTCTGTTTTGACTGGGTTAGCTGTGGTGGGACATATTTGCGACGTTTTTGGCTGCACACACTAAAGTAGTCACCCTCGCTCTTTGAAGTCGGCCGTATTGTCTTTGCACGCACTGGTTTCGTTTGCAGACGGTTAAGTTGCCTCCTGTTGTCTTCGTTGGCCGGTCCGCAGCCCTCAACCTGGCTCCACAGGATTGACACTCCTCTCTGGCTCCTTTCTCCAGGTATGAGTGCTCTGCAGTTGCAGAATCTGGCCACTTTAGCGGCGGCAGCAGCAGCAGCTCAAAACTCAAGCCCTTCCACCGCAAACCCCCTGTCCTCCAGCGCGGCGTCCCTGGGAGCGTTGGCCAGCCCAGGTAACGCAGCCGCAGCTTCTTGGCTCGGGTCTTGACGTCAGGGCGAAGCCTGCCTAAACTCCGCTCTCCTACATTTTCATTCTTGTGTTAATGGATCTGGAACATCCTTGTTGCTGTCACCACAAAACCATGTTCATCGTCACTTCCATTGTTGAAGTCTTTCCAAAGAAGTCGCACGGTTTGTGTAAATCTCCACTTTGCCTCATGGATCACTCATTGGACAGTGTGCAGGTGTCATCGTGTGGTTCGTCATGTCCGTATCACGGTTGTGGACATACTTTACATGTTGTTGTGTGCTTACATGTGTGTCTGTGTGTGCGCTCGATCTGCATGTGAATGTCAAGTGCTTTGTAACTGCCCAAGTGCTCTATTCTCTACAGTCAATATAAACGTGCACTGTCTCTACACAGACCAACGACTTTTCTAAGGCATAGAATAGCAACTCATACACACAAAAAGATCCCAAATCAAATGTATACAAAGGAAATAACATAGAGAATATAAAACTGTGGTGATCAACAAGGGCATAAAATACTCTTTTTTTTTTAAATCTATTTATAGCTTACTTTTCACGCTGTAACACAAATTCAACTCCTTGCACTTCCACAGAATTGGACAACCTAACGCTTTCAATTTAATGTAAAATTCACATTTCACATTTCCTATACTATGCCTTAGAAACTCTGCGTGGACATCAGACTGGTAACACTTAGACATAGATTCTAAAGTGCTAGGCAATCGTGGTGGATGCTCCAAAACTGAAAATTGAACAAATCTCTTTTTGAAATCCATTATTGGTGTGTGATTGTGACGATTTTCCGACGTACACATATAAAAAAAAAGCCTCTCTTAAGCCTCTGAGTCCATCTTTTTTTCTTTCGAGTTTTGTATTTTAGCCTGCTTATGTATGTTTTTATTTGTGTATATCTTTGCAACACTCTCTTCTCTCCACATCCCTCCGGCATCTTTCCTGAGTTCTATTTGAGTTGAAATAGTCTGCGTTAATGAATGGCACTACTCTGCATGTGTTTATGAACGCAAAAATGCTGCAGAAGTTCGATACCGCCACTTTTGCATGGAGACAGACAGCTACCTTCATTTTTTGTTTTGTTTCTCGTTATTATTTTTTTTACCATTTGTCTAAAGGCTCGACTGTCACACAGTTTCTTCATGCATTTGGCAGCATTCCAGTTTCGCTGCAAGCACTTTGATGAGATACACGGCAAATCGGCGGATGTAATATTATGTTCTGGTGACTTCTTTGCACTTTCCATCACTCCTGTATGTTGCTGTACAGTGTGTTCGTATTTTGGTTGTGAGTTTTGCTGCAGCTGTGACAGGTAAAAACAGAACTGCTTTTTGGCCACGTCTGAAAACTCTTTAGCTCACCAATGGATCAATCCAATGTGTTTATAATTATTGTTGGTGGTATTTTTAAAAGGTGTTGTATTGGATTTGTGTGTGTTATTGAAATGTGTAAACTCTACGATATGTGATGTTGCTGGATACATACTACCTTGAAATCTTCATTTTTTATTAAAGCCTGCTTGTGAAATCTATTGTACAAAGAATGAATGTGGGCAAGGACCTGGTGATAAAGGCCAAGGCTGCCCGCACTGTAGAGAAACTCTTCATTCAGGTTTGCTCCTCTGGCCATCCTGGATTAAAATCCTTTGAAAAGGCAGTTTTCCATTTTTAAGGTTGTAATCTATATTTACGCCCATATATGGTCGACAACGAGTCAACAGCAGTGTTGGGGAGTAACTAAACACATTTTCAGGATACCCATTTTGAGGATCAGTATTCATTATACAGTTTATTTACAAAAAGATAAACTCTATGGATCTCACAATGGAGAAATGTACACATTATATATGACGTCACACTGCAGTAGGTGGAGGAGCTGTGTGAAAAAAAGTACAAAAAAGGAAGTGACCTGATTATTTACACTACCGTTCAAAAGTTTGTGGTCACATTGAAATGTCCTTATTTTTTAAGGAAAAGCACTGTAGATAATCAAAATGTATGAAACTAAACTAAATCAAGGCAATATTCTGAGCAGCAAATTGGAAAATAACATCTTTCCTTTTATTTATTTTCTTCACGTATTTATTGCGTGGGATGTCATCAATAAATGTGTTGAATAGTTTTAACGAGTTAGGGTTTATTGTATATGTCTATTTGTGTTATTGTCATCATTGCAATGAAAAAATGCAGGACTCAAAATAAAATAAGTTAAAAAAATTCCAAGGTATTGTCAAAATGTGGTATAGACAATGGACGGACAACAAGTGGGGAAAAGCACTGGGAATAAATACACACATTTTCATTAGGCCGGGGCAAACAAGACAAGAAGCAAACTCAAAACTCAAACTAATATAGTAACAAATAAAACCAGGTCAAAGTAATCAAAAAGTCCACACCATGACACTTATCTCTCTATAACACAATCTACTTAACAAAGTAAAGGAGCAATATTTTTGGCTTCTCTACTCACTCATGGTGGATAAAAGTATTTTTTTCTTAGCTTCCCCTGGGAAAGTCGTTTGGTGGAAAGATTCCCTCATCCCTTTAAAAACACCACAGATTCCAATTCAGTGGCCATCAAATGAGCTTCAGTGGACAGGTGCTTCAACATCAAGAATGTTTTTCCTCTGCATTCGAAACGGGCATATGTTGAGCAGCTAAAAGTAAACAAGTCATTCCAACCTCTTTCAGCAAGTCTACAATATTTTCCTATCCACAATTTGGCATCCCACTACTGTCCCATGACAATAATGTATAATAGATCGGTAGCCAAAAGAACATATTTTTGGAATGTATTTAAGGCAAGGCAAGGCAGGGCAAGTTTTTATACAGATAGATAGATAGTAGATAGATTGAAAGATAGATACTTTATTGATCCCATATAGCACCGTTCATGCACAAGGCAACTCAAAGTGCTTAACAAAACAAGATAGAAACAATACAAGGCCTTAGAATAAAATAAATAATCACAGATATTCAAAAGAGGGATAAAAAGATCAAATCCTTCAGTTGTATGCACAGTTAAATTAAACTGTTTTAACCTGGATTTGAACATTGTCTGAGAAGAAGCCTGTCTTACGTTTTCAGGAAGACAGTTGCAGATGTTAGCAGCATACAGTAAATCTGAAATGCTGCTATAAGTATTCAGGATAAAGGACATTTTTAGATTGAGTATTCTGTAAAATGTTGTTCTCCCCAAAACTGCTTAAGACTGAAGCCAATTCCTCACACATGAAAATGATTTCCAATGTGGTTTTACTGCAAACGACAGCAAAGCACATTTGTTTTGCTGTCAGCGCAAATGCCATCACGCAAAACACAGGAATAGTGTCTTGTAACATTTGCATTGAACACTTGGGTCTGTGCGTTTATACAGTGTAACACCCTCTGTGCTCCCTGTTCCCCCTCTTCCTCCACCAGCAGGTACCACGGCCAGCTCCAACGCCGGTGCCATGAACTCTCTGACCTCTCTGGGCACCCTGCAGGGTCTGGCAGGAGCCACTGTGGGCCTCAACAACATTAATGCACTAGCAGGTAGTGTTAATAGTGAGTAGTCATCATCTCCATCTCATCCACGCTCACCTCAAGTCAACTTAAAGCAGGGGTACCTAACTTTGAAACCACAAAAAAGTAGTCAAGTCCATGTAACTAGTTCATTACTCTCAAAACAGATTGCTGCTATCAGTAGTTTTCACATTATCACAGTATTTTCGATCATATTTTTCAGTGAAAGTAATGTTTTCTGATAAAAAAACAGAATATTGGGGTCTGATTTGTTGCTCAAGATGTTACTTAATGTTGGGACAAAAGAAAATATGAGAGTCCAAAAGAAGTAGGTACTCCAGCTTTAACATTTATATGACAGCCTATACAGCTAATCAAGTCAAGTTTTAGTTTTTTTATTAGTCATAAAAGAAACACAAAACAATAAAAGCTTAGTAACCAAAAAATGTTGTTTTGACTTTCCAGGTAAAAAGCAAATGGTGAATAGCTTAGAAAATCAAAAAAAAAAAATCCACAGCCATGAGTAAATAAAGGCTTTAAAAAAAATCTAAACCACTGACCACGAGTGACTTGGATTTTTTTTTTTTTTTTCTAAGCTATTCACCATTTGCTTTTTACCTGGAAAGTCAGAACTTAATTTTTTGGTTACTAAGTTAAACCCCTCTTCCTATTGAGCACCTGGTCTTTTAAGTAAATCTACACACTTGGACCACGCAGCACTCCTTACCCTTTGCTTTTTGAGAAATAAAAGAAGCTGTTTGGACATAACAAGAGATCTGTTTGATTGTCATGATTTTTATGCTTCTAATCACAATATTTCTTTTTGAAAACAGTACAAAGAAGCACACATAAGTCCGAGACAACAAGAACGGCAAATTACACATACAGTACATACAATTATATATAAACTTTATTTGTTTTGCACGTTTCTAGTTTGAAATTCTAAAACTAAAGCATATGTAAATCATCTAGAAACATAAAGAACGTTTGTCTCTTAGACTTACTGTACTGTCTCTATGTAGTTGAAATCTTAAAAAGGCTTAAATTTTAATCTAACATGAAAATAATGATTCCTAAGGCTCTCGGTCATCTCATTACCGCATTCCTCCATAGCTTCTGTTTGTGCGTAATGCATTTGTCTGTGATGTGTACCGGTGTGTCTTAGCGTTTGGTTTGTTTTTATTTGTACAGATTTTTTAACTAAAATGGCCTTCCTTAAAGCTGGGATACATGTGTATTACGAGCCACTAGGTGTTGAAGTCTAGAGAGTGTGACTCAGTAACACAAAAAGAACCGGGGGGTGGAACATAGACAGGAAACGGGGTCTAAAAAGTAACAAGGTTTATTTACATATAAATAAATGCACAAAAAGGTCACACGGGTGTGCAGCCGCAGGATCCAGGCCCAAGTGGAAGAGAGACTGGTCTGGAGCCAGGCTCTTTTTATGCCTCCCAGGTGATTAGCCCACAGGTGCATAGTGAGACGTCAGTGGGAGGGAGGTCTGAGGAGGCGGAGGCAAGGAGAAACAAAAACAAGGACCTGGTCCGTAACAATGTGCCTGACTTTCAAAGCCAGAAAATGTAGCAAAATCCTTCTAACTAGTTTGGTTATTTGTTTATTTTGGCTTCTGATACATCATTAAATCTTCTTTTTTAGACGAGAAAGAGAAAAAGAGAGGACCACTTTCACTCAGCTCTCAGCCCAAAGTGTCTAATAGTGACTCACGGGGCTCTTTCTTACAAGTACATCATCATCAAACCTTTTTTCAGACTTGTGCTCCAGAATAAGCCTCAATACGAAGAGTAAACTGCTGAACCAACGCCTCCACAGTTGAGACTGACACAAAACTATCTCTCTGCTGGGAACAAACACAATTATGTATTTAGGAATAAAAATTAAGTGAAGGTACTCCAGCTTCAAACCCTTATGGTATGGCTATGAACGGAAACCATGTAAGGTGTGTTTCAGTGAGACAGACTTATTTATATTATTCTTAAAATGGTGAAATAAATAGATAGTTATAAACCCACAAGACATACACTGCAAACAATTATAAAATATTACGTAATAATTACTTGAATAAAGTGTTTTTTTAATCTTAATTTTATTCTACCTTTATACTGCAAAAGGTGATCAAAAATTGTCAATATTTGGCAACATTTATCTAAACATATTTTGACTGCCTTAAAACAAGATTTTCCAATTCAAGAACTGTTGGTTTATTTTCTCATTCCTAGGGAGACTTTTTTATATCTCTTTAAAACAAGATAATTTAGCTTGACCCATTGGCAAACATTGTTTTAAATAGATATAAAAAATGTCTCCCTTGGAATGAGAAAATAAAGCAACGGTCCTTGATTTAAGACAACATGGCTTGTCCCATTCGCAAATCTTGTTTTGATACAGTCAAAACGTGCTCAAATGTAGATAGATTTTGCCAAATTTGAGCAATTTTTGACTTATTTTTCATCTTTTTCTGCCGTGTAAAAGTAGACTAACATTTTAGGACTAGCAATGTTGCAACTACCGCAGCAATAAAATAAGTATTTTTCAGATAAAATGTACTGTAGCTACTTTTTTTCTCTCCCTTTCTAAAATCAACTGTGTCTGGGCTCGGGGCAGTTTCTGCAGAATCAATGGAGTATACGCAACTCCATGTTTTCACAATGACCCTGGGAGCTGCTACATGTTCCTATTCACGCTGTGTATTGGACAAAGTATAGCCGGGTGCCTGTGTGGTCTGCCATCATGACTGTATGCGCTGTCCTGCCTTTGACCTCTGGGGAGACCGGGCTGGGATCTTAATCAAGCCTGTTATGACAGGACAAATCCCGTGTAGCTCCCCTTCCACCACATTATTCTCCTCTGACCTTTAGCGCTCCATGGCACCACTGGTTGTATCCGCAGTGTAAATCATAGATCTACACAGGTACACCGCACACACATGTAGCCACTGCCATTTCTTTTAAAGGGGATGGATCACTTTCACTTTACATTCCGTTTTGTTCGCGGATAACCCTTTTCTCCTCTACACGCCCCCCCTCCCATCATGCCGCCTCATTTAAACACATCTAGGCTTTAATTGAATTGCAAAGGTCACCAGTGCAATTATTCCTGAATAAGTGAGTGACCTATAATCCGGAGCGCTGAGGTGATCATTTATTTTAGTGTGTCTGATGGTGCAGGAGACAGAGAGGCTGAGCTAGTTGCCCTGCGTGGCCAAATGAAGCCATTACAAGCGGCTAATGAGTGTTCCTCGTGTGTTCCCTGGCTTTTAAAAAACACACCTCCCATCAACATAAAGGCAAGCTGGCCTTCAAACGATAAAATGAAATGTCACTGGCTTGAAAAGTACACATAATGACATGCTAGTTAAAATATTCCAAAGTGGGTTGATGCACATAAAAGAAGGGATGCAAAAATATACTCTTGGATGTTTAGCAGCAGAGGAGATTGTATTTCTTATTTCCATGCATACAACTGTTAATGGGCAAATATTTTATTCTAGTAATGCAAGGCAATCATGTTTGTTTGTTTAGCAAGGTTCATAAACAAGCAACAGGACGGCTTTAGCAAACAAGAAATGAAACATAAATAATCAGATAGCATTCATCAAAGAGTGCAGCTAAAATCTCTCAGTTCACAGCGATACAGAACTGTTTCAACATGGTTCTCAAAGATTACTTTCCAGATTTTAGCGGCATGAATCTGGATTGCTGACTCCCCAGGCTGGTGTCCTGTCTCTGGGCACCAGCAGGGGCCAGTCCATCTCACATTCCCTTCTTTTACTTTGCTATTTCCTGAACCGTTATTTCTTCATCCAGTGCAAAATATTAATTAATACTTGAAACTTGTTTTTAAGTGTCTTATACGTGTTGTTTCTCTGGGTCTCTCTGTGGCGCCAACACATTACTACATTCACATTATTACGTGTTGTGTTAATTGTGATCTTTGTTGCATGTGCGTGTATTTATAAATGTCTTGAGGAACTTGTCTGTGTCAAATGTGTGTGTGTAAATTGAAACTTGAGTGGGAGCGGTAATCAATAAGTGCACTCTTCTTTCTTTATTGTTGGGTTTTATGTAAAGTTGCACAAATTCTCTCAGGTATGGCGGCTCTAAATGGAGGTCTGGGTGGTGCGGGGCTCACCAACGGCACAGCAGGCACTATGGACGCTCTGACACAGGCCTACTCAGGGATACAGCAGTATGCCGCTGCTGCGCTGCCCACCCTCTACAGCCAATCACTGCTGCAGCAGCAAGGGGCCGCGGGCAGCCAGAAGGAGGGTAAGTCCACCTGCAGCGTGCCTGGTTAACACAACACACATTTACTGCTTTGGGGAGAAGGGTTTTGGCCACAAAGACAAAAATATGTTTTATTATAGATATGTCCAGGAAGGCTCTTTTGCTAAATTATGAATCAAATACTGAATACATACAAGGACAGTTATCAAAAAGTGTATCATAGTTTCTTCTGTTAACTAAACTTTGAATATAATTAGTAAGTAGTAGTAAGTAAGTAATCTTTTTTTATATACCGCCTTTCACAGACCAGAATCACAAAGCGGTTTACAATAGTCATTTTTTGGGCATTTGTCTCTCACTCCACACAGAGATGGAAGCGGGGTCCCCAGTACAGGAGGCGCAGACTTATTGTACATGCTTTTAGTGGTAGGGGAAACCGGAGCACCCGGAGGAAACTTACGCAGACACGGGGAGAACATGCAAACTCCACTCAGAAAGACCCTGTTCTGACCGGATTTCGAACCCAGGACCTTCTTGCTGAGAAACGAGAGTGCTATCCACTCAGCCACCGTGCCCCCCACAATTATTAGCAATAAAGTCTCCTGAACCTGAATGCTTTAAGTTGGACTGTGGGTTCAGAAAACAAATAATTGATTAAATGTACGCTAAAAATAAACACAGCCACTCACTCCATTACTGCCTTTGTCATGGAAAATATGAAATACTTGCTGCAAAGAGACTGACCTTTTTAATGTAGCATGCTTTCTGAACAATCATTTTAAAACACAGAGAACGCAGAATAAACATACTGACCAATACCATTTGGACTAGTTCTGGTATATTTGGAAAAAAAGAAAATAACCGCCCTTTAAAAGTGGAACAGAACATTGGGAGTTTACCTCTGGCCTCTTTTTACAGAAACAAAACATAAATAATTAAACTGATTTCATTGCTTAACATTGCCTCATTGACTATCAGCTCTGTCCACATCACTCGATTCATATTCTGCCTTGTCTCACTTAAGGACACACCGTTGAATGAAATTAGTCATTGTGTTTGATGCTCAACACTCAAAAATACACTATATTCTAACACACTATCTAAAACTCAAGGTTGGTCAACATTGCTGTGCGTTGTGTTACTATGGCAACAGCACAGCGGTGGGTCATGTGCAGGACAACCCACAGCTCTTCATATTTGTAACGAGAACTCCCCGACGGAATAGTTGAATACAATCTGTGTTTTTCTTTTTTTTCCCGCGCAGGTCCCGAAGGCGCTAACCTGTTCATCTACCACCTGCCGCAGGAGTTTGGAGACCAGGACATTCTGCAGATGTTTATGCCTTTTGGAAATGTGGTGTCTGCCAAAGTCTTTATTGACAAACAGACAAACCTTAGCAAGTGCTTTGGTAAGATGTAGGCCCAGTGTGTGAATGCTACTGTGGGTCACATATAGATATACTGGCTGTATGTAGTCCATCACCCACTACATCCAATACATATTCACAGATGTGGGCTGGAAGGAACATGCCGCCATGTTTAATACAATCTCTTTTATCGAGCACTTTTTACACACATGTATATTGCATTAAATATGACTCATGTGCCATGTTTGTTATAAAGAAAAGCCAGCCAAAGCTTCCATTACCTGAAAATGTATTTGTAACAGCACATCCCCTGGCTCTGATCTTCTGGTCTTTAGGTTGTGTGTGAATTTCACCAACTGGCAACCCAAATCATTCCGATTTCTAATTTGGATACTACAAGAGGATTTGGCCATTATGGTCATTGTTTTGAAAATTGGGTATAAATCAGTAATAACATTTGGATCAGAAAAGGCCACTGATGATTGTATCCTATTCTTACAGAAAGATACTGATATTAAAATAAAGATGTTTTATGCTGTTCTTTAAACATTGTAACTCACGGTGTCTGTGTTTGCTTTAGGCTTCGTCAGCTACGACAATCCTGTGTCGGCACAGGCTGCCATTCAGGCCATGAACGGCTTCCAGATCGGCATGAAGAGGCTGAAAGTGCAGCTAAAGCGCTCCAAGAATGACAGCAAACCGTACTGATCTTAGAAGTAGGGTGTATCTGCTCCCCTGTTAGCACTGCTAGGGTAAGTCCCCCTAAACAACAACAAAAAGAACAAAAACAGCAAACCAAGCCACGACCTGCACTGGGACTGGGGGGTGGGCAGTGGGAGGGAGGGGAGACGACCTACGACCACCTGAAGGAGGAGACTCACACACTCCTCCTTTGATATACTTGATTTTTTGGAAGATTTTTTTTATTGTTTTAATATTTAATATTATTTATTACTATTTATTTTTTACACATGAACGCTTCCATTATTGTCATTACTTTGTGCAATTTTTCTCACTTTTACTACAGAAGTAAAGACTTTTTTTTTTTTAAATACCTTTTTTTTTTTTTTTTTTTTGAGAATTGATTTGTTTTGCCAACACCGGAAGTGAAGACAAAGGACCATGATGATTATTTTGTTTTCTCTCTCTTGCTGTGAACCTTATGCCTAGGCCTGGTTCAGATAGTACTTGTTGATGCTCAGGCCAATATGCACAGCTAACCTTTCGCCTCTGCGGTGTTGGCTGCAGGCCGCTGCTTCTCTGAAATCCCTCTCTGCCTGCGGGCGCCCGGGGCAAAGGCTGCAGATCATAGTGGCCTCTACACTTACTGTAGTTAAGAGCACCAGTTATACTCCACCACCAGGAAAAAGAAAAAAACACACTCCAGCTACAGTATACATACTATTCATAAATGATTACTTTTCTATTTGTCAAATTATGGAAAAAAATATACTATAAATATATACTGGGTCCGATCACATTGGTCTTAGTTGAAAGGACGCATGCACAATATATATTTAAAAAAGAACCATCATTTGAAAATATCCTAATGAGAATAATATGGGTTTAGGGGTTAACTGAAAATACTTGATGTTTGTTGAACGTAAAAAAAAAAAATACAAGTACAGAAAGCCACAGGCCTGTAAATTTTATTTGTAAAAAAGCAGTTCTATTTTTATACAGCATTTTTACTGCCTCAGATAAAATGGATTTTATTTATTGCCTATTGTTAAGTTATTGAACTCCTATAAAAAATATCGCATTGATAAAGTCGACCCTCGTGGAGTCGTGTTCTCCAATGTTTTCCTGTTTTTTTCAGTAGCGTTCGGCACAACACTCGCTGTCATTGAAAAGCGCACGCCTCACTCACTTCTCACAGTCATTGTCCGTGTCCATCTGTGTTTCTCTCTCCTGTCTGGAGAGAGCCTCGCTCGCCCACCTGTCCTTCACATTTTAATCAGATTTTTTTCTTTCCTTTTTTTTTCATTTTTGTTTTAAGTGTTGTTTGTCCGTGCCCTCACCCTTCATTTTTTTTTTAGGAAAGGCCCCCTACTCCTGAAAATATATCAGTATATATTCCCAAATGTGTTATCCATCTAGTATGCGATGGATCAGACTTTGGGTGCACTATGGTTTGTGTGCGTTTGTTTGTGTGAATGACTGAATTTGTTGTTGCTTGTTTAATATAATCCTAGATTAGTATCACTATTTATTGCAAAAATGCAACATTTGTGCTTACAAATTGCCAATGAAATTAGTAGTATTGCTGTATTCTACAGTTTGCATTGCTGTTTGTTGTTGTTAATGTTGTTGTTGTTGTTGTTGTTTTTCTTAATTTATCAAATGCTGTAGTGGTGTGGTGCTTTTGCTCTCTGTGTGTAACTCTCTCCTTTTCCCTGTTTTTCTTTCCCCCTTTTAGAAACACCCATCTCCATGCCTGTTAGCTCATCGTTTGCCTAGCATGTCTTCGTGGCGTCCAATAAAAAACACACAAAAACACACAAAAGATAAACAAAAACAAAAGTGTCATCGCCCTCCCCATTGTTTTGTGAGCTCAGCTGACCACACGTGGTTCTGCTCCTCTGCCACCTACTGACTTTTTGAACATTTACACTTTGATGGACTTGTTTTTTTGTTTTGGGACTGTGAGGCTTTTGTCTGGGTCTGAGTTTCTCTCATATCAACACGAGAGGAAACATGTATGAGTTTCAATTTATGGTACTATTACTACTTGTTTTGGGGTATTTTCATTTTATGTGTTTTGTTTTGTTGGAGGTGACCTCATGGTTCAGAAGAGGCTTCAGGAATTTGGGGGACAGGTGAATAAGAATCAATGTGAAAAAAAAAACCTATTATAAAGCTGCATTCACATGAAGAAAGACTGATTTTTTACAAAAAACCTGTGGCAAAGTTTTCCCCACATTTCTATGTCTTTATTTTCTGCATTTTGTGTTTGCCTATTTTCTCTACTTCATAAAAAAAACTTGAAAACTCAATACAGGAATTGGCGCACAGCTTTGATTCTGCTGCAGATAAGACGGGCCGTGCGCAGGTTCAGAAGCTGGGGGCGCCACTTTCTTTAAGTATTAAGACTACTTCCACAGTTTTGAATAAAAAACTGATTGATTCTAGACTCTCAGAGCGCTCTCTCTCTCTAATGGTTTTTACATTTTTCAGGCAGTGTAAAGTTTTTTGATAAGGCCATTTTCAAGTGGCTCTGTTTCTCATTCAAAGTCTATATATAAGAACCACTTTTTCTAGAGTAGTTACAAAGGTTAAATAAAAAAATGACAAAAAAGACATTTGCCCTGTTTGGTGGGGGAGATATGCTACCTACTTGTGTCACCTTTTGCTGAACTGACTCACAGATAGACAATCCATGGTTTAAATGCACATGAAGAAAATGACCTATATTTTCTACTGTTAAAAATGTATAGAGGAAAAAAAAACAATTATGACAATATCTGTTACCCATGTTAATGTTGGTGCTTCTCGTGAGTTTAGTTAGGTTCCATCCCAGTCCGATGGTCTTTAATGTCTCTTTTTTGTTCAACTAAAAATCTGTTTACTTGAAGAATAGACAAAGCCTTTCAAATTGTTTGTTTTCTCTGTTATTCTTTCAAGGGGTCCCTATTTGGTTAAAAAGAAAAAAAAAAGTTGTCAATTCTATAAAATTCTCAAAAATATATATAAATATAAATATATCTATATATATCTCTATATTTACAATGTCAGCTTGTGAAGCATCAATGTCATTATGATTTTAATTTCTCTCGTGGAATACAATATTAAATGTGTTTTTGTTGTTCAGCAAAATGTCTTATGAAATAAAAAAGAAAGAGATCTGTGGAGTTTAGTGCCAAATTCTGAAGGTACTTCCTGCCTAGACACGTCAGTGTATTTCTTGTGAAAATGATTTGATAACATTGGTATTTTATTATTAAGTGTTTTGTATGGATCCCTCATATTTAAAGTATAGATTTAAAGAGTTTGTTAACTTGCTATTCTGTGGTCTTGTTGCCTGGAAATGTCATGTTTGCTTTTTTCTTTGTAAAAATGTAAAGAAGTGCCCATGTGTCACATATATACAGTATATATAAATATATATATATATCTAACTATACACCGTTGGACACACATGCATACACCCTCTCTGTGAAGACCTCACATTTTACTTATTTGTTGCACGAAAGCCCCTGAATGTTGTCATCTCCAAAGCCACCGCTCCGCCTCCAAAATCACTTAAACTCCCACACCAAATGTCTGATGTTTTCTTTATCAAAAGCCTTACCAGAAAAATCTTTGCACTCCTAGCTATCTCTATCTGTATCTCAGTCATACACACTTCGATATATTGTTTTGATTTTTACAAGCCGCACGGTCTCATGCTTTTCTCTTCATAACGGAGGTGATAGTCATACACAAAGCCTTATTTCTTCAAATCTTCTTCACCGTTTTGTGCAGTTCAGAGATCATTATTTTCCTGTACCATCGCTTGGCTTTTTAATGATGTAAGCACAGAGCAAGACATTCATAAACTAGCCTTTTCTCGTCTGAGGAAAAAGCAGGTGTTTTTCACCGATCTGCAGATGTATCACACACAGATCCAGGACTTTCTTTTGTCATGATCATAAAGTCTTGTTGGCCAAAATGTTTTAGATGCCAAAGCGTGTTACTGTTACCGACATTCTCACAGTCAAGTCGTTTACATGGCACAGCGTTGTCAACGTTGATTGTTTTTCCCTCTTCTCCCTGAGAGCCTATAGTGAATAGTCTGCAAAAAAAGATGGCAGCATTATTTTCTACACAAAATCTCACCAGTCGCCTTAAACCAGGGAGCACCAGTATTAGACTATTTTGTCAGGTTCGTGCCAAGTCCAGGGTCACCTTTTGTATAATGTTTACTTCTCACTTCTCGTCCGACATTTTGTGAGTAGATTGCCGAGTTGCGTAGGAATCTTGTGATGGCTGAAGTTTGAAGGATGCTCGTGAGTGATCTCTCAGGCTAAGCCGGGTTATTAGAAGCAGGAAATGTGGAGGGGGTTGGTCTTATTGGAATAGCGACATGGGAAATAAAGCGCTGTTGGTCGGTAGCTGGAAGGGGTCACAGGCAAGCAAAACAACCGAGATGAAGCCATTTTTCATTAGCTATACTCAAAGACCAAATCTAAGAAAGAAGAATGGTGAGGAGAGGATTGGAGCTGTTTTCTTGTTTTCTTCTTAAATGCAGTATATAGCATGAGCAGTGCCACAGCCATATGATGATAGCTGGATAGTCCTATAATGTCAAGGGACCATTTTTGCTAACCAGCACATGCAGGTTTTGATCATTATTTTTAAAAAACCGCTGCAAAATTGAATCAATTGCACATGTCGTCACTCTTGCACAATCCGTTGTAACACATTGTCATTGTCGGTTATGGGGGAGATAGAAAGCACTATTTTGTATACTGTTAAAAGCAGAAAACCCAGATTATGATTTGCCAAACATTCACCTCGTTGCATGGTGTGTTGATAGTGTGTAAAGCAGATTTCTGTGTTTCAATGTTAAAGCACAAGAGGGCGATAGCGAGGCTGTGGAGTGGCCGTTCCGGGGCTTTCGCTGCTTTTACTCGTCGTATCTTTCTATCTTAGTCACTGTTCGCTTCTGTTATTTCTGATTTATTAATTATCTCAAGTGCTATTTATCAAACAAAGAAAAGGAACAAAAATACTTTGTTGTTTCTTTGCATTATAGCTTATGTCAACAGTTTTTTGAAGAAAAATGTGTTGTTGTTTTGTTTTTTTCATTTTGTGTGGTAAAAAATGTGATTGTCGTCAATTGAAAATGATCTAATTTCTTTGTTGTTTGATTTTTATTATTGATAAAGAGGTTTTCAGTATAGTAACTGTCTTGAGAGAAGCCAAAGTCAATGCATTTTAAGTGGATCCTGTAAGCGTACAATATATGTTTGTTTGACAACTTCGGAAATGTCACTGGATGGTATACTACAGTACAAAAAATGCAGGCTTTCCTATTTCTACAACTGATTGTACTTATGCATTTTGTACCAGTGGAATTTTTTATACTGGAGATTAAAGGATACAACAAAAAATGTAGAAAAAATGCTCTTTTGGCCTCTCTGATGATGCGGCCAGACCCTGACTTGGACTTCTGCTTTCTCTATAGCTGGCCTCCAGAACGTTGGCTTTTGATATTTACGATTTTCTAGATGATCTTTGGCTTGAGTTGATCCCACGTCTTTTCCCTCATTTGTGTGTTCTGTTCCTTCTCTTGATTTATCTTTCCTTTCATTCTCTTCTTTTAATTATTTATTTTAAGAAAACACAAGAGGGTAAGTGAGTGTCATTTCTCATTTTTCCTTTCCTTATAGTTCTAGCCAGTTCGTCTGTACCAGAGCACTATAAGCTTCATTTGGACTTTCTGTATTGTGCTGTCGACATGATAAGACAATTCTTAGAAGAAGAAGGGTTAGAACTAGTCTCCTTCAGTGGATTAATGTATTAGTTTAATCAAGAAATCTACTAATTTGATTTTAGCCTGTTAGAGTTTCCAGTTTCTCTGTCCTTCTCTGTGAATTAACTGTGTAGCTGAAGCAGTCAGAATTATTTTTGTAAACGTATGTTCTTGTGTGATGCAGTTTTTTGCTTCTGTCTCCTATATTAAACCATTTTTCCTAATACCTGTCTCTGTGTGTGAGCTGTTGTGTTCTGGTCCGATGTTGTACTGTGTCACGACCTTCCTCTCCATCCTCTTGTGTTTCTTTTGCATTATTTCCCCACTGGATCATACACTGTGTTCATTTTGATTGTAAAGTCAGCTCCCTCTGTTCAGAGACATCACACTGTCCTCATCAGACATGGTAAATATACATCGAGTATATGTGCATGTATATTACTGTGTGGAGCCCAAGCTAGTGTGACAGTGGGTCAGAAAATTATACCTGGTTCATATTTCCAATGAATCAATAAAAAGTGTATCGCACAATTCACGGCTTCACTACAAACATTTAAAAACATACACACAATCTACAGAAGTGGTAAGAATTTACACAGTAATTATACTATATATTATAGTATTTACTAAAAACAATGACACAAAAGATGATAAATTCAAGAAAGAAAAAATAATTAATGGAACCAAGCTACTGTAAAACCAGGATATAAGCTAAAGGAAAAAAAATCTATTTAAGTTGAAAAGTGCCGCTTTTATCCTATTCATTTATCCCACTTTGCTTTTATAATTAAATGAATAAAAAGACAGAGACTGGAAAGAAACGCAACACATGAAAATATGCATTATTACATCAGGGGGAAAATGTATATGGTGGTTAGTAAATAATATATCTGACTTCAATAATTATAACCATTTATTGAATTGTTTAATTAAATGTAATTAATAATAAATAAGACTGGATTGGGGGGAGCGCAGTGCAGACATGTT